CTTCACCACTCGAAGATAAAATCTGTATCGTCTCGTGCCCATGTAATATCCTTTATATCTACACTATACGATGATCATATAAATTCATAACAGATTTATATTCACCGCAGTTGGAACCATTACTTCGACATAAACTGTGCTAAGCAAGGTAGGCGTGACAACAAGAAATAAACAATGAAGATCACGTTTATTAGAAAAAAAGGCATTGGTCATTAAAGACGTCGTGAGAACTGTTAGTGTCTCAGAAGCGAGTAAAAATTGATTATACGATTAATGAAAGGTTCAATAGAGCTGTTACGGCTCTAGGTGAGTGCGAAAGGGAACATCAAAGTTTCATCAATCTTTTAAGTCATTTACCAAGACTGAAATTTTAATTTGTTGTTTCTTTATTTTAAATCTCTCTCAATCGAGTCATTTCCAGCATGTAATTCTTGCAGCAGATCGTCAATTCGTTCTTGAGGTACTCGAAGCGAAAAGCTTTCCGTGTCAACTTCAATTCCTAAACAAGTCATGTTTGTAGAAGGATGACAGTCCTTTTCCGGTGACGACTGTAATCCAAGTTGATCAAATAAACTTTGTAGTGTGCTAAAAGCTTCGTCGGCTCGAGATGGTATTTCCGCTCCATAGAAGTCATCCAGATAAACATCTGCGGTAAATCCAAGCTTGTTAAATCCATAAATGACCGCTGAAGTCGTTCGCTGACAAATCATGGCGCTGGAACGCAGACCGAAGGGACATCGAGTATCAAAATAATAATTCCCATTGAAGACAAATCCCAGTACATTATAATCCTTTGGGTCGACGGGTAGTTGTCTATATGCGCGTTTCAGATCCTTTTTGTATATGAGACAGCCAGGCCCATGATGTAAAATGAAGCTGCACAATCGATCGATTCTCGGTAACCGTAGTTTGTAGGGCTCGTGCAAGTAAGAGCTGGAGGGGATTCCGCTGTTAACTGATTTACCCTCAGGGAAGCTCAAGTCCATTACCACTCGGCGAGTAGTTGAACCCCGTTTGGGCACAGTTTGTAAAGGGGAACAAATCAAATCTTGATGTAAGGGGTTGTGTTTGAATGGTCCTGCAACAGCTTGGTAGCTACGTTCAACGTCAATATAGTGTCCTACATGTTCTTTGAATTGATCTGCTGAAGGGTGATTTCTGATCGATGAAACCGGCAACTGTTCTTCGGTATAATTTATTGGCCAACCATATCGCAGAAACAGGGCCACATGGTTGTCATGATAATCAGATAGATAAAAGTCCCAATTGTCAACATCAAGGTTTGTCACGACGGGAAGTCGAGCTTTAAATGCATTTGGCAAACCTGTGCTGGCAACTAGCATATGTTGTATTATTGCAGTGTTGTTGGTAGAAAATGAATTCGAGTCCGATGAGGCTAAGTCCGAGGATAAGTCCTGTTTCAAATCCGTAGTGTCCTGATCATGGTTTAAATCTTGTCATTGTTGCGCTGTAGAATCAGGAATCGGGGTGCGTCTCTTGGCACAATGCAACATTGGGTGGCCTTAACCGCACACACGACACTTGTCATGTGTGGCGTAGTTGCTTGTTGTTGAATCGCACTTGCAAGAACCGGTATGATTCCACACAGCCCAACTAATGTCGCTGATGAATCGACTGTAGACCTTTTCTATGAAGACCTAAAAGACATCACTAACGACGTCCCGGCACACAACCTTCTGGTTGTCGCAGGAGACTTCAATGCACAAATAGGCCCTGAGGATGCATTGTTCACCTTCAACACTAAAGGGACAAACCGCAACGGNCCTTGAGCATTAGCAGCTCGAGTAGTTGCAACATGTCTTCCTTGCGTTTTGCCTCATAAGGTTTGATCATGGCAATAAACCCAGCGACAAAGGCAGGCATGTCCAACTTCTCGAACTCGATGTCGAACGCACCTGCAAAGAATTCTTGCGGCCAGTCTATGTGGCGTTTTTTTCGCTGTTTACCTTCCCTTCTTGTTTCATCAGGCACGTGTTCCCCATCATGGGTTGACAAATCGGCCTTTAACTTCAATAATTCTAGCTCTAGATCTAGCTTATCACGCTCGGCTTCTAGGAGTCTTGCCTTGTCACGACTAGATAATGGTGTGGACCTCGTGGGCATTGGCAAAGATGGCGGGGATGAATCAACATCCATGTCGTAGAGTCGCTGAGCCGGTAATAGATGAGAATCCGGCTCAGTCTTTGTTGCTTTTCTGGCTGTTTTTCGAGTAGGATGAGCCATGGCTTCGGGATAACGCGAGAGTGATTTTTCAAAAAACTATATCAAATCGAGATGTGTTGTCCTCTACTGTGAGATTATGACTGAGAACTTGTAACCCTAAGTAAATATGATATATCTGACAAGCTGTCACTAAAACAATTACATATCATCACGTACAACAGTAATGATTAACCTATTTTAAATCTCTCTCTATCGAGTCATTTCCAGCGTTTTGAGGCGTTATCAAAGACATTTTTACAGCACACACGGTCAGCGATATTATCAATATAGACAAAAAAGCTTCAATTTGAATTGTCCACGACCATCAGTTTTTATACAATTTTTATAGTGAAATTTTATAAGGAGGATCTTCGCTTCTTTATTTAAGAAAATTGTATTACTTGGGAAATCAGGACCCTATCGACAGTTTTGAATTGAAAGAAACAAGCGCAAAAGTAGTATAAAGTATAAAGCCACTGGCCTAGATAAAATCTCTGAATTCTCCGCGAATGTGTCCTGATTTGATATCTGAATCTCTGTGTGATATTTTCAATCGGTCAATAGCTACTGGGATTTTTCCTGATGATTGGAAGTGGGCTAAAGTCATTCCATTATTTAAGCAAGGAGAACGTAGAGATCTAAATAACTATCGTCCGATATCAATTATTCCTGTTATTGCTAAAGTTTTCGAAAGAATCGTATATGACATGGACCGCGGAGCAGGGGGGCTAAGGGGCTACAGCCCCCCCCCCCCCAATGATTTTTCCGACATTTTGAATTTTCTTAAATAAAGAAGCGAAGAGCCATCTTATGAAATTTCAACATATATATTCCATAAAAATTGTGTAAAAATTGACCGTTTGTGCGGTAAAAATGTCTTTGATAATGCCTCAAAACGCTGGAAATGACATTTCCGAGAGTTAAGATCTCAAAAATTTCCGAACCCCCCTTGCACCTCCTCGCCGCTAGCCCCCCCAAACAAATTCACGCTCCGCGGTCCCTGTATGAACAAGTTTATGATTATCTTTTCTAAAATATTTAGGATACTACGCGCGCTGTGATTGGTCGAAAACCATGTTTGATTACAGTATCAAAACACGCTCGCGCACGTCAAAAATTTCTTTTTTTCTTTTAATTTTAGAAAAGAAATAAAAGACGAAATTCCGTGTTTGATACTCTGATCAAAACACTTGGGATGTAGGGAGAGCACTCGAAAAGCTGGAAACCACTCCGCTACGCGTCGTGGTTTCCTACGCTTCTCTCGTGCTCTCCCTACATCCCGCGTGTTTTGATCAGAGTATCAAACACGGAATTTCGTCTTTTATTCCTTAAATCAAATACGAATTTGTTAATATCAAACTTTCATTCTACTGTAACAGCTTTGCTTGCAATAATTGGGCCTATAATATTGATCGCGGTAACGTTAATGCAGTAGTTATTGATGGTTTTCAACCATTCCCATGAGAGTGAGCAAAACAAAAAGGTCCACCAGTCACGATGGTGGTTTTCTTTTGTCAGGTCCACCAGCAATGGTGGACATCTTGCAAATGTTAGTCGCTGGCTTGTTGCTTATAAGCTCTCACTTAATCAATCAAAAACTGAGTTTATATTAATTGGTTCAAGGCAGAGACTGTGCACACTTCAATCCACCGTTAGTTCGATGATTAATGGTGAGCCTGTTAAGCAGGTGTCTCACGCGAAATCCCTTGGTGTGCAAATTGACGAGAATCTATCTTGGAAAGTGCACATCCAGGGATTAGCCAAAAAGATTGCATCTGGTATCGGGGCATTACAACGCGTGAGACAATTTGTGCCTATCATAACTCTGATATATCGATATTCAATTCACTAATACAACCTCATTTCGACTATTGTTGTGTTGTATGGGGCAATTGCGGTAAAACCCTTGCTGCTAAATTGCAAAAGCTCCATCGGGCTTGACCTTTTCGAGCTATGGTTCTAATGCTGACTGCCTCATCGAACAGCTCGGCTGGAAAAAACTTGCAGACCAACGCAAAGTTCCACACAGGCGTGATGGTCTATAAATCTATTAATGTACTGGCCCCTGCATATTTGGGCTCTTTGTTCAATAAACGAATACAAACTTACAATCTAAGAGACTCCGAGAATAAACTTGCTGTTCCAAAGTCACGCACAAACTTTCTCAAGGACAGTTTCAGTTATAAAGGTGCGACACTTTGGAACAGCCTCCCATTTGGATTGCGGCAAGCGGAAACGCTGCAAGATTTTAAAAACGGATTGTCGCAGAAGTAGCAAGGCTCTCTTGTAAAACAGGCACATTTGTGATACAGTTTTAGTTTTTATTGTAATCAATAATTAATGTATATTATAGTTAGTATTGTTAGTATTTTTAATATTTCTAAAGTCCTGAATGAGACTACCGTGGTTAAATAAAGTTATTTTTCCATTCCATTCCATTCAAAATGTCAGAAAAATTAGACCCCCCCCCCCCCCCCCCCCCCACTGCTCTGCGGTCCATGTTAGACCAGTTTCATCCGAATGATTGACATCCGAAACGTAACGTCAGTAAGTTATTTCAACTACATTTTACTGTGTTATATAATTTATCTTATTTCGCAGCGGAGTCTGTACACCTTAATTGCTAAAACGTTGTCATAGAGAAATTCGAAGCTTTGGTCATTTACGCTCGAAGCTTTTCATCGTGTATTTTTAAATATTCATTGAGATTTGCAGTCAAATTTCCTTTCCCTCGTCTTGTAAAAAATTGCATTAAATTACATGACAATTGTACTTACTATCCCATGATACATCAGAATAGCCACCAAAGATGTAGCTACCAACACGAACAATGGTAACTGTTGGTCCTTCCTTGTCACACCAGCGGTGGAATGTCTTAGTCACATCCCATCCATCAATAGAAACTCTCCAACATCTCACCCAACGACTCTTACTCGCATCTTGAAGCACTGGCTGTAGGTATGTAGAGAGCCTCTGCAAGTATGTCATGTTGCCAAAATCTAGGAGTATATTTGAATTTTCCAAACCAGCTACATAAAAATCAGATAAAAGTATTCTTATAAATCAATGTAATGTAATTATAGTTGTACTAAGGGTGAGAATAAATCATGACAATTTCCAGGACTGAGTAATTCGTAAAATGGCATATTTATAGCATATTCTAGTAATTATATCAATCAAATTGTCAACCAAAAAATCATCTTACTGATCTATTACTGTTCTAATAATATAGTTGAAAAAATTACTCAATTCTGATTGGCTGATAGCATCTCAATTAATTCTTAATTCAGTGCAATCACATTTCTAGAAAACTGCACTTAAAAGTTTTGATAGGGAAGGTTCAAGAATTTATTTCTTTCACAGTTCTATAGGGCGCTATTTCTGAATTTTATCGAATGATTTCCAAAAATAGAGAAGAATAATTAAAATGAAATGCGCCTATTTTTATATTTAAGCTAACACTTTAGACACGAACGAACACGAATAACATCGCTAATGACACTGTCTTGCTTTACATTTTCTAAGAGCTTTCAGAAAGAACAGATCC